TTCGCGAATTCGAAATGAAAATGACGGTCACCGTACGTGCTACGATCGCTCCACACGGCCGACCATCCATGTCCCGACGACAAACCGAAAGAACAAAGAGAAGAGAATCGAACGAGGATGAGAACGAGAAAGAGCGAGAGAGAGAGAGAGAGAGTCGGGTTTACGACATCCGACTTAAAACTGTCCAAATGATTCATAGCGTTCACCGCGTATATATATACACACGCGTATACGTATACGTGCGTATACCACCACTCGATCGACCGGTTTTGGCACCCATAGTCTGTCCGTACCACCGCGATACACGTGTTTCCAATAAGTTCTCTATCGGAAAAATAAATTCGGATCGGTCGTCCGACTCGCTTCCCTTTTCACACGTATACACGTGTACATGTGTCGAAGAATTTTGACCGATTTCGATCGAACGTTCCCGTTCCAACCAACGTTCGAGCAACGTTTCTCGAACAAAGCGACGATGATCAAACCGGCTAGCGAGAAAACGAAAACTCACGATTCTCGGTTTCGCGCGAATCGCGCACGCGAATCACGGCCTCGAGCCGTTCCACGAACGGGGATCGTTGTTCGCGAGAGGAAATGCCGAGTCGCGTTCGACTCAACCGCGAGATTCGAACTCGGAGACCTTGGACCAACCATTGACCTCGATAGCTATACTCTACCTCGCCGGTATGCAGCCACCAGCATCCTCCTCCTCCTCCTCCTCCTCCTCCACCTCCTCTCCACTCGTCTTTCGTCCTTTCGTTTCTTTCTCTCGTTCGATACCCTCGTACGTACAACCGCGATTCGACCATCATTTCGTACAAACGCAACGACCGTTCCTTCGTATCTTCGCGTCGTCGGTCGATCCCCTTACGCGCAAACTGACCCGCGTAACGTTCACACGCGCAACCTTGTAATATACGCCAACTACTTGATTTCGAGTAGCCACGATCGATCGTTTTATTCACGGGGGTACCATTTGGGGGAAGATGGCAAACGAGAAAGAAAAAAACTCGTGCCGCGTAACGTAAGAATTTTTCAATATTTTTGTGTTATTTTAACAAGGAAAAAAAGAATTATCGACAACGACAACGATTGATTAGGGCAAAAAGATTTAGATTTTCAATGGGATACTTTTTTGAAAATACCCGCCATTTTTAATTCGCCATTGCAACGAATTAATTTCTTTATATCGAAAATCACGTATCTTGGTTCGATACGTTTCGTAGCGTAGCATAGATTCGGACGTAACGAGCGAAATTTGTCGACTTCACGTGGAAATCTTCCCCCAATTACCTTAACAATTTGTACACGTATAGAAATAATTTAGCATTCGACCTTCGAACGCTTTGTTTTCGTTTTTTGTATCGAGAGCAATTAGATCTCTTCTCTTTTTCTCTCAAATACGATCCATATATATATGTATATATATATATACATATATCCATATATATGTATATGTGTATATATATATATACACACAGTAACGATAAATGAACGCAAAAACTGATAGATAACGTTTGCCGACATCGCAGCGTCGTAAGCACGATTCGGCCAATGCAAACAACGGAATACGGATATTGGCACGCTTGTCCGCGTATACGAATGAATGCAACAACGCCACTACAGACCTTGAACGTTTATTTTACCACTTGGAACTCAGTCCGGACGATACACGCGCGTACACATACTCTCTTTCTCTCTCTCCCTCTCTCTCCCTCTTCATTCTGTACATGTGCAGAA